AAAAAAAAAAAAAAAAAAAAAAAAAAAAAAAAAAAAAAAAAAAAAAAAAAAAAAAAAAAAAAAAAAAAAAAAAAAGTCCAAAACCACTAATCCCTCATCTTCTTAACCGAGCTTCAAGCCTCCACACATCCTCCTCCTCCGGCGAGCAGCAGCTGCCGGAGCTCCTCCAGTGGCGGCAATCCCGGATCCGGGTCAGGATCCGCTCAAACTCCGAATACCCACAAGGAAAAGTAATCCCTTTCTTATGTTCAAACCCATATTCATCCTCTGCTTCCCTCAACAACTCAATGAAAAGCCTATGCTTGAAATACACCACCGGCACCAAAACCCGGCTGAATTCTCCTCCGCTTTCACCGACGTAGACTGCCAGCTGTCCTTTCGGCACCGGGTTACGCTTCTCCCGGACCGGCTCAGCTCGTCGGAGGAAACTCAGCCCGCGACTCCAGCTGAGAAGCCTTGACGACAACTTGAGCTCGGGCGACGAGTCCTCCTGACTTAGCCTGTAATATCGAGTCGCCGGTCGGATATTTCGACAGAGCCATCTTGAAAATAGAACGAGTCGCTTTCGAAGCTTGAAGCCTCGGAGCTTTCTCATGAGAAAAATGGAGAGAGAGAAGGAGATGAATTGGTGAAGGATCAAGCATAATGGAGAAGACTAAATACATAATTTAATTTAATTTAATTTAATTTAATTTAATTTAATTTAATTTAATTTATTATTATTTATTTTTTTTTCTTTTTGTATTGTATTGTTCATAGTATAAATATAATTTTATGTAATATTTAATAATTTTCCAAAGGCCGTAGTACTTATGGTATACGGAATCGATTTATTTATTTATTTATTTTGGGTTGGCGATGACGTGGAAAATAATTTTTTATGCATGCCATTCAACTCAAATATGAGGATAAGTTAAAAAAAAAAAAAATAGTATTTTACCAAGTGGATGAAAGGTTTAGTTAGAGTTAGGAAAAGAACGAATTTAAAAATAACTCGGATCGATACTCTTAAATATTTTAATGATCAAAGAAGACCTATAATTTTAAGTTAGAATATAAAATCTCGTCTCACAATGTCCCAAAATTTAAATATCTTGTCGAAACGAGCTACAATGATCAAATTGTCAAATAAAAAAAAGGGACGATAAAGTAATATTATCTTCAATCGTTGAAGAACCTTATGAACTGACTAGAATAGATTAATTTAAACTGCAAAACGAATCAAGAAAATCATCATTTGTCGAGGATTATCGGGAGTGGGTCCACATTGGTTAATTTAGTGGAAGATATGGGTTTATATGTGGGGAATAATATCTCCATTGGTACGAGGTTTTTTGAGGAAGTACAATGTAACAACGAGAAAAAGAAAAAAAAGATTTAGAAACCGTTAGATTACTCTCCAACATGGTATGTGCTCACGCTTAACTATGAAATTCTTATGATTGAATCATCGAAAACGTGTACCTTTTTGGTATAGGTAGCGATTTTCCATTCTTTTAAACCTTTCTTAGTCATCTTATCCTTAAAATTTCTCTCATTCATACGTAATCTCAATTCATTCATGTAGTTCTCCTTTAAACCTCAGGTTGGTAGCTTGGCTTGATTGCTCAACCCGTTTTTTCCTCATCTTAGGCGGCTTAGTTGAAGCCTTGGGAGCAATTGAGTCGTTTTCCTGTAACTCCGGCCTAAGCCAAACAAGTAAGTAGTTTTACTGTTGGCTTGATTGGATGACTTGATCGTTAAATGTACGTATGTCATGACAATTTCATTACTTTAACTCATGACAATATCGTGCCAGTAGTAACATCTCTATTTAATTAAAAAAAAAATAGAATTGTTACACTTTAATAATGAACCGAACAGAGTGAAACTATTTACTCATTGTCCTAAAGTATATATGACAAACAAAGATATTTTAGCTCGTACTATTTAATCCAAGTTGGTAGGCCAAACTACGTATTTATTAATTTATAAGTCCAACGTGACATTATTATGCTAAAAATATTTCGGAGATAAAAAATTTAAAAAAAAAAAATTATATAACAAAAGACAAAATATATATATATATATATATATATGTGGAAAAAAACCATATAAAAATAACTTTAAATTATAAATTTAATTTTTTTTTAACGTTTAAGTTATGCCTATTTAGTTTTTTTTTTTTTTTTTTTTTTTTTTATAA